GCCGAGCAGGTTGCAATTGCCAAGACAAGGTTACTCTTGTTACATCACAGAATAAATATCAATTAATTAGAAGATTGTTTCACCTCTTATCTGGTTAAGATGAAAAAGTATGTGATACTTCGATTATCTTGCACCAAGCCCTGGTATCCCCCTCCCTGTAACATTCTCACTCCAGCATACTATTGAGATTAACAGGCTTGATTTTCTGCAGGTCAACAAGGCTCATTCCTATTTTTCATCAATAACAAACCATGTTGATGATACCCTCAGTGGGCTGTCAGTGGGATCCTAGGGTTTCAATACCTTACATAGTTCACCATCTTCATCTTCTATCGTGACCTCCAGCTCATCTTCTAGTCTTCCCCCCAGGACTTTTTCTTCAAATGGGTATGTAATTCTTTTTTCATAATTCTGACCATAATATTTGATTAAACATGCCAATGTTCACAATTTTTTTCATTTTCAAATGGGTATAAGTATCTAAATTGTATGCGGGGAGTGTAACATCTACTTACTCAGTGCTGGGGGAGATCACTGTTATTTCTCAGCATAATTTCAGGAGAACCCAACACAAAGGAAGAAAATGTGAAATGAAATGAACACAAAACAAGGACTTATAATCATGTACTAAATGGACTACTCTGTTTTTCTTATATATTTTCTACAATGTTTCAATATCTATACAAACCTTTTTTATATACACACTCATTAAAATGTTAACTTACATTTAAGAGTGGCACTTACTTTTTGCTATTTCCTAAAGCATGTTAAAAACCTTGGCCCAATGTGTTTACATTAATTCTAAAATAAATCATATGGTTATGTTGTGAGCCCCTCTTACAATTTTTTTCTAAGTTCTACCTCAGTCCGTTCATTTTGAAAAAGATGTTTAAATCATTTCGAAAAAACATGAAACATCTGGAAAGACCAACGAATCTCTGCGGAGAATTTCAAAGGTTGTATAACTAATTATTGTTGCATTTAAGCAATAATGGCATCTTGATCTATTTTCCAGGGGGTTTTCATTGAAAATATGTGCCAGCCATGTATAAATAAGAGTTTCTGACAGTCTATAACTGACACTTGAGCTGAACATATCTATTTCTCCACAAGATACAGTAACAAACCTTCCAAACAGGCAAATATTTTGTGGTTTTTAAACTTTAATCTTCATGAGATTTTAATTAATTTCCGACTCATGGTTTTGAAGATTGTCTCAGATTTGTTTTTATTTGTGGGTTTAATGTTTGATATAAGTTGGCTATGTTTAAAAAACAGAGGTGCATATTTTATTTCTCGCAAGAGTCACTTAAGTTAATTCATAGCTCAATTGTTTTAAAACAATTCAAATTTTTGACAGAACCAACCAGTTGACCTCATCATTTCAGTCATAATGTATCCATCATATACCAGTGTTTCTATAGTTACAACATGTTACCATAGCAACCTTTACACTTAAAAATGAATCTGACATGTTTTAACTGAACAGCTGAATTTCTTTTGAAATGTTTTTTACAAAGATAGGTGAGAAAAATCTGGAGAACTCCTTAGTAAGTCTGTGAACATGAATTCTGTTGCCAAAAAACTGTAGTTTGATAGTATGATAAAGGAGAGAGAGTGAGCCTAGTGTGTTAAAGACATCAAACTAAGCAGTAAATCAGAACAGGCCCCAGCTATATGCAGAGAGATGGATGTCCTTTTCAAATAGGTGCATTTAAACATGAATAATGACCCACAGCTGCAGAAGATATTTCCCTCTAAAGCATGTTTACTGAAACATTGTGCTCATAATACCAAATATCTCTCTCATCTCATACAGTTACCAAAACCATATATTTCTATTTATATTGAGGGATCTATAGCTTGTACTATCCTCTTGGAATACCCTCTCAGGGATTTGATAAAGAGGGACTCCTTCAGAATGGTATAATTCTATTTTTCAGATATCTCATGTGAAGATTCAAATATTTTTCATCTTTTTCAATATTGTATGTCGACTGAACTATTTGAAAACAAGACATCTTTAAGATATCTGATATACTTACTTTAGAAAAAATAAACATCTACAGCTTTTTGAAATCATTTTCTCAAAAGAGAAAAAAATCATAATTATTCTAATTTTTTATATTCAAATAGATTGAAACATGCCTATGATATTAATTAGTTGCTTATCTGACATTCATAGAAATTTGACTCTCATGAATAACTACTTATAAACTTGAACATAAAAGATCTATTCAGCCATGAAAATACAATTTATCAATTCTTAATAAAAGTTCAAATTCAATGTCTAGAAATCTAAATGAATAAGATATTATCCTTGCATACTGTATTTGAGAAACTAATGAGTCATTAATCGAAGTGTCAGAAGATGGTCGATATATAGAGACAAAAGAAACCAGCTAAGAATCTTGATCTTTTTGATATTTCATTTTTGAAATTGGCAATTAGGATAAACTCAACTAGGTATGTTCAAACTGAGGCATGTTGCCTCTTTTACCTCACTCACAAAGTTTTGAGATTTCATATTAGATAGTTCAAAGCTCTTTTGAAACCATCCTTACCTTATTGTGAATTATATTTGCAGAGACTAACATTTGTTTTTTCTACCACTTATCATTTGATGTTATCTTTTGATGACATCACCGTTTTAGTAAGTGTCTCTTCCCCACATTTCTAAAGGAGCAATGCAATAAATAAATTCTAGCCACCAAGCATATCATCAGTCCTACACCTGGCTTAAATACAACTCCACTATCTGTTTTATATCATAAAACGCACCTGGTATCTTTAAATGTGTCACATTTAGCAAAATAAATCTGAACCAAGGTTGACTACTGTAGCAAATATGTAAATCAGACATTCATGTCAACTAGATTAATCACATTCTAAAGGAAGGGATGGGAATATACATGTGGATTTAGCTTCTTTACTTTCACATATAAAGAATTTTTTTTTGAATCAATATTTTTAATCACGTAAATATTTTCACATCAGAGGGTTATTAATTCTTGATTGCTATTCATTCATTATTTCTACATTTCAACACACGCTGAATGTGTTTCAGGCTTCCTGTATCCGTGTTCTAAACTACGACTCAAAAACTGTTACACTTTGTTGCACATATTCTAAACGTGAACTGGAATGTGAAATGAGCCTTTCAGAAAATGGGAGCCTATTTTGAATAAATACATGTTATAAGAAACCCCTTTACAATTGAAAAAAGTTCATATATAAGCAGTCACTATTTTTCAAACATTTAGAAAAACATTGAATTCTATATCCCTATTCCACCTGATTTAAGTACCGAAGCTTTGTGTTTTTTTAATATTAATCACATTTGATCAGCAAATTAATAAGAATGTATGTTTATTAGAAAGAGTGTGGAATATGGGTGAATACAGTAATAAACCAATGCTATTGAAAGCAGTTATTCACCCATTGAAGCTATTATCAGCCAAAGTGTCAAAGAGAACAAAAACCTAAGGAGTCTTGAAGTGTCATAGCAATAATAGAGCAGCAATAATACAGGGGGCTATCAATGCTAAAGCAAATTTAAACTTTGGCTCACTCTTTTCAATTGAAAACATCAATACATGTTAAAATATTGAAACCAAATAAAAAGAAAGAGTTCAAGTAATAAACACTGTATACATCAGTCATGTCCTACCAAAAATAACAATCTAAATCTCAGCCTTTGAAAAAGTGTATAAAATTAAAACCCCAACCTTAAAAGAACCAGCAAGCTCCTGATGAGTACACTGTATGTATTTTGAAAAAACATAGCAATATATAGAATACAGGGTGTTAAATGAATACAGATGTTGGGCATACTGTATATAAGATTCATGTCAAACCAGGGTTTGTATGAAAAATAAACAACAAAGATGATATATTTCTCCTAGATGTATCATCCACAAGCACTGCCATATGTGCAAGAGTCTGCAATACCACATTTCAGAAAATATATTGCTATCATCTACATTCCTACTGCTGGTGCTCAATTTGTTACTTTATATGATCAAGACCAGGCTGTATGTCATTCATCCTGGTTTTAAAACCATATGATATTTAAATATTTTAATGTTAAAAAGTCAACTTTCTTTGTTGTAAATTAAAAGTTTAAAGGTTGGCCTTTTCAATGTGATATATTACACATTTAAAAATTGGCCTTCTTTAAAATGGTGAACTACAAGTTTAAAAGTTGGCCTTCTAAAAGTGGTACATTACAAATTTAAAGTTCTTAAAGTGGTATATAACAAGTTTAAAAGTTGGCTAGTGCAGCTGAGTATTATAGCACAAAGATCAACATATCCTTACCATTGGATAACATGTGAAAGGAAAATCCTCCAGCATTATCTCATGATCAGTCTATTACCAGACATATTACAAAATTTTAATAAACTTCAAACACATCAAAGGATTATTCAATATTTAATAAAATATTTTGACGTCAGCACTTAGTTTTATTAAAACTGTTTCATTAAAAGTTAACGGACTCTCCATGGAGTAGTCATACGCATCACTGTGTTAAACCTTACTTATTTCAATATAACTTACAAATTTTTTCAAGCAAAATAAACCTTAGATAAATAAAGCAGTAAGCTTGAACTAAGTCGCTGGGTTCACATGTTAAATCCCTAGTAAGCTTTTTGATGTGCTTTTCCCACTTTGTGACGAGATGTGTGTAAACCATGATACATTTTTTCTAAAGCTGATATTTAAGTCTGAAAATACCAAAAATGAAATCACTGAATTGCCCAGCGAACTAACGTTTTAACATACCAATGTCACCTCAGGGAAATGGGGTTGAAATTGTAGACTTCCTTTAATTCCTGAAAATATTTAGGTTCCTTCTTTGTACCATGGTACATACTTGGTACAGGTAATTAAGGATATTTTATCCTCTTATCTGCTAATAAGATTGAACATCTTGAATTTTTAATATAAGATATAATCTGAAAAGAAAACATATGACGATTTTTCAAAAAACAACATACCTTATATCAGTGATGATTCACCTCTTAGTACAGTATAACTTTAGCTTTATGTTCCTGGGTTATAACTTCTAAATAACTAACTAATTCAGTATCCACGACGACACAGCAGTGATAGTAATAATTCCTTAATTGAGAGCTAATCCATGCTAACTATATGTAATCTCAAGAACTCCAAGCTAAAAATATGATATGTTTTTATCAGATCAGCACTGAACTACTCTAATCCAAGTGGCGATATGTTATTTGTGTTTATGCGGCAACTATCCATATAGTTCGACTTAGAGTCTTAAAACTATGTCTCCAATGAATTCTGATCTCCTAGATATATGTATCATTCACTCCAGTATGCGTAACTTTGTGTTTTGGTTCATTTGTTAGAAACACAAGCGATTTTGAGTCTATAATGTTAACCAATGTAGCTCTCAGAGAATATCACATCCATACAGTTCTGTGTACCTTCTACTACTGAGTTGGAAGTTACTTGCCCTTGGCGGACAATTTCAAAAACTCCAATAACTTAATTAACGATAATCAAAGGATGAGAAAGACTTCAAATTTGTCAGATTTTTATAAAAATTTTATATAAACATCATAAATGTTGATGATTTTTATATGTTGTATGCAAATAAATACAAAATTCATAACTATTTGTGAGGGGTACCGCTAAACTGCTGATAAAACTGGCTTGAATTTCAACCAATCTCTTGCTGATGTTTGCTAGTCTTCTACACAGGATCTCAAGACATTATGGTAATAAACCTACAGTGAACTATAGAATAGTCTAAATGTATAGGGACCTATGGTAAACTATATCATTTATTTTCATATTTTGTGGTCATTATCAGTGCTGTTTTTGCCTTATAGCTATGACTGTTAAAATGTTTCTCCTCAAATGTATCATGAAACTTAGAGGAAGTGATTTCTTATATTTCATAATTCGTAAATTACACTTAACATTTCTAGATACTTAGAATTGTTTCACAAGAGGTTAATTACTAGAGATAGGACTGCCTTATAATTTTGGGAAAGAGTTATCATAACAAAATACAAAATACAAAATGTTGTCTCAAATAGGATAACACAAATCTGAATCAAAAATTTATGAAATTAATCATATATATAGACTAATACAAAGATAATCTTAGTTGATTTAGTCTAAATATAATAAATATATTTCTAATGTTGTCATTAGTTAATATTATCCAATGAGGTTCATTTATTATTCATTACTCAATTATAACAAAAATCATTCATTATTAAATCTTATTTCATGTCATTTGCAACATTATGTTCATATGAGATGTCGTATAAATGTTGCTACTTTATTGATTTTAGGAATCTAAACTTCTTATAAGTTAGAGAGTGTGGGTTGAAATATGATAAAGCCTTGGGGGAGGGAGCCTCATTCTGTGGCACATGGGTATACTTAACCTCTGCCTTTTGTTCTCTCTAATAATGGGGTTTATACAAAGAGGGTATTCTCCCAAAATGCAACAGAAATGAATCTGACTAATCAGATGAGAAGATAATTAAATATTAGATATGATTTATTGGGTAATTACATATTCCTTTGGTGTATGAAGCATGAATTTTGAATGAAATTACTGCTTTGGAAATATCTACAGTAAAACGATGCATACCTTGGGGAAAAATGCCAGACAAAGGTTTGAGTTAGAAAACTAAAAGTGGTCGCAGCGCTATTCATATTAAAATGGACCAATTTTGTATTCAGAGGTACATTGAGTCAATTCCTCCCACTTTCAGCACTAACAAAGCTGGCCATAATTTTAGTACAAACTCGCTACTTAGGTTAGGTCAAGATGCCTAGAAGACAAAATCAATCTTCACAAATATGTAACCAAAAACCACTTTAACTTCATATAAAGCAGTCATATTCCAAAAGGAAAAGTTTCTCATTCTAAAACATAAGGATATGTGTAAATTTCATTTCTCATATATATTGAAAGATATGTAAGAGGATAGAAATCTAACAAAGTATTCGGTGTTCATAAGATGATGTCCCTACTTCCTTTTGTAAAGGAAGAGGCCATCCTTAGTCCAAGGGTATTTCACTTCTTTCCTGAATTGAGTAATAAATTAAGTCCTTTGAATGAAGGATGGAAGAGGCCTGTTGTCTTGTTTCTTGATTGATCACAGCATATTCATAAATACTTTTGAAAAATTTAAACTGTAAGACAAATCAGCATGCTCTTATATAGTAGGTTACCCTTCTCACATACCCCCTCCCTACATCCTCCCTACTCCCACTATGACACATAACATAAACCCAGAAGTTAACAGTAAAATACTGTAGAGAAAGCAATCTTTCTGGAATGCAAAGCCAAACTTGTACAAAGGGAAGTAGGATCACATCCCCAACCCCTCAGCTCCCAATGTTAAATATTATAGAGGCTAGAAAGAAATTTCATACATGTGACATTCCGCTAAGACCTTACCAAGAAATGCTACACTGACTCTTTGCCTAAATGTTCTTTCCAGATTGTTGTTTTTCAATTTAGCAACAACTTTCCACATTTGCTTTCAATCTCGCCTGGTGTCATTCAATACAGAGCGTGTAATTTCATTTAGAGGTTCCAAACAACAGGCATTTTTTCAACAAAGTTTTCCTGAATACAAACATTCAGTGTTAACACTTCTTTGAAAGTGGTAACTAGAAGAGACAGATTTGTGATTGACTCTTTGTTAAATACTTTCAATTACTTGTACATTGTACAGTAAAACCTGTATAAATGGAACACCTTAGGTACCTAAAAAGTATTCTATGTGGTAGGTGTTCTATTTAGAAAGGTATATTTTGTAAACCTCTTGACTACCCAGAGTGACAAGATTTCTTGTCACCTTGGAAATTACCTTGAAACCCAGAGTGACGAGAAAATCCGTCACAACATTTTTCATTGAAATTGCTCTAATTTTGACAATTTTCATCCAATTTACACCAAAAATGTTTTAAAATGTGTAGACATGATGTCTGCAGACTGATCTCACTAAATTGTGCATCACCATGTATATGTGTAGCAAAATGTCAAAGGCTGGCAAAAATGAAAAATTCCCTGGTTTCAAACCAATTTTAGAACCTGGGATTCAAGAGGTTAATTGCTATCAGGACTTAGAAAAGTGTTCTATTCATGGAGGCATTCCACATAAAGACATGTTCCACTTTACAGGTTCTACTGTACAGTATTCATATTCAAAATTTCAAGAATGGCAAAGAATATGAACATCTACATTTACACAAATAAGGATCTAAAACATGAATAGAATTTTTAACATCAAAAACCGACTTTTAAAATATCATATATCATAAAGTTCCTTTTTTAGTTAAAATTAATACAGATTGCTCAAGTCTAACTTTTTATTCTTCATCCCAACAGATTAACCCATGCTGCCATCTATGAGTCAACCTGTTATACTAACCTGATAAAAGTGAAGGCATCTCAACATATTTATCTTAATTAATCTTCTTTAATCAGTTTATGTACCCTCATCCATATGTATTTGCCTAAATATTGAAATATCAAGGTTATCCCAGTATAAACCTGTCTTGGAGTATATGCATATCTAATGTTTTCTTCAAGATGTTACATTTCTAGGTGAATCCCGCTTGAGGTATCTCTGGTATCTAGAATTATCCCTCCCCTTCATCGTTCCCCTCTTAATCTAAACCGCCTTAGGTTGAGGGAAACAACACAATAACACATTATACGGAAAAATCAACAAAGTTGATATTTGTTCAGAAATGCTAAAGTGAACAAGAAATATGTTTTAGCAATGACTTAAAACATTCAAGTTTAAGAATGGAAGGGTAAAGCAATTTGACAATTGATATTATACATCTCAATTCACAAAGTTTCAGTTGCTCCAACTTCACCTTCATGTGTTAAAACCACCTTAGAGGTCTAAGATGGATATTTGTAAACAGAACATGAGAACAAAACGTCATTAATGAAAGGCCTACCTTAACCATCCAGGCATTTCTTATAAATTTAAGTAAAATATGAAATTGATTGTTCAAATATTTCGTCGATATTCATTATTCAATTTTCTATATCGAATAACATCTTCCTTTGGTTGTCTCTGAATGCGTTGTAAACAAAGTAGATGGAACTAAAAGTGGCTAGATCAATGTATGATTGTGCCCTAGAGGAGCAATCACCAAGATGTTTTTAATTATTAAAGTTCATGACATTATTACACACCTCTGACAAAATATTAACTACAATTAAGAAATGCTAACACCCATGACACCCCCCCCCCCCTGCTGGGATCTACCAGACCAGGATAAGTTGATTAATTAATTAACACATCCTGGTTTAGCTGTTCTGGTTGTTAATTGTAGCTAAGCACACTGGGCAGCTTACACTCTAATAATATATAAAATAAACTTGTACATCTAACTCTACATCAAGTAAAATATCAACGAGTAAAACAGCATTTTCACCCCCCCTCAACCTTATTGATTGCTACAGGGCGAGAGAAATAAATTAAATATAATCATCACATTTTTTATGAAAAATTCAAAATGGCTACAAAATAATTTATCGAGCATGCCCAAAACCTAATTAGATCTTGACACTAAACGGCTCTTCCAACTGTAAAAATTTCAAGTTAAACAGGTAAGCGATGTTCCAACAATTTTGATGTGGTGTCCGCTCACCTAGACACACAGGCAAACAGATGGATGATTGCACACCCATCAGCACAAGATGATGATAATGTAGCACACTTTGAAAAAGTGTGATAAAAATGAAATTGATTTGTAGTACGTTTCGAGATATTCAAGAGGAATATTTACATTTTATCAAATAAATAAAACAGGAAGTATGAACCACTTCTGACCGCCATCTATAGGTTTAACAAATCCATTGATCCACCAATAAATTACTTAATGATTAATTATGATTATTTTCTTTGAAGTTTTAAACAATCACTTTGTTATGATAAATCAATTAACAATCGAAGATTTGAATCACTCTCCAGACAGGGTTAGAGTCCAAATTAAACCATATTTATATAACCCCATGTGGAGATCGACTCCAATCCTCCCTGACCAGCAACATGTCAATCACCCAGCATAACTTAATTAAATCTATGTCAAGAGTGAGGCCTAGTAAACAAGCCATTGTTTTTCTAATTACATTATGAAAACCCCTATGGAACTCGATATAGTCTCAAAAGAGAATTTTCTTGTTGGTAGATTAGAGAGTTAAGTTGCACTAAGAAGTAGTCTAACTTCACAGACACTCATCTGCTCAACTGCTTAGGTTTACTTAGTTCCCCTTGATCGAACAACACAACATTGCTGAGAAAGTAATAATCAAACTTAAGATGTACATCAGAGCAATATTTAGGATCCTGGGGTTTGTTGGCTGTATTCTTGAATGCTCCTTTTGTGTTTTAATTCGGTTTTGGTGTTTATGCCCTTTTGACACATGCTTATATATTTGCTATTAACTAATTTCTGACTCAGTAGCTATGATGCTAGAGCCACTTGTGGCATGATTGAGAT